TATAAAAACTCAGAAAAGATGTTAGGCTTATAATTCAATACGCCAGACGAGCGTTTCGTGTGAAACTGATTATTTGAAGCTTAGCAAAAAATAGCTTAACAGATAACCTAAACTCTCGAGCCTAAACTGTAAATTTTAAACTTAGATATCATTACTTGTGAAGCAAAATAATAATATATTGAAGAAAAAAAGGTGTCTCCTTTCCTTTTATACAAGGAATAATCCCTAAACGTAATATTTCGAATTGTTATTCAATTTGGCAATTGAACAAAGATTAACTAGAAAATTAGATTTCCTTGATTTCTTATCAAATATCCGTATCCTTATGCTGTGTAAATTACAAAATAAGCGACGATAATTCTTCTTGGAAGGACTTAGATAAGCGTGTACATCATGACTTAACAATATAAAATAAATGTTTAGAGTACAGGCAATTTCTCTGAATTCATGTCTTATTCAGTTGCCAATAAGGGAGGGTCATTTGACCTTTGTATATGCATGCACATGAGTTTCCTGGAATCCATATTTCCTGCTTTATCAGGCGACTGATAATTATGTTTAATGACCCTAAAAAAAGAAAGAAGAAAAAAAATAAGTTTTGCATGTCCCCTTGGTATTTTCCGTCTTTTTTTAAAACTTTTTTTTTAAACAAAAGATATGAGAGGAACTTGAGTTAGAAATTATTTTTGTTTGCAAATCTTTCAGCCCAGTGATATTTTATTTATTGTATAAAAAAAGTCATCAAAGATTATATCATTTGATGCTAAAACAGGTGAATACAAAAAAAAAACTTTGATTGCTTATCATAAAAGAAAATTTGACGAGTAACACCTGTACAAATAAAATAAAATACAAAAATAACTTAAAAAACACTAGAAAAGTTCTGCAAAGTATAAAAAAAAAATAGGTGTTAAAAACATGAACCAAGCTTGTTTCCGGAAGTTAACACAGGTCCTCAAGGAAGAAAAGTGGATGAATTGCAAAAGTTAAACAAATATAATCAAATAAAAGAGGGATAACTCAACACATAATTGCAAACTGTCAATTGTGTAAATAAAACTTTCATGTAAGTCCCTTCATCTTGATAAATCAACTTTGGTACCAGTTACTATACTTAAAATGAATACCTAGACAACCGCAAAATCGCGGACAAGAAAATTTCAGCATTGTGTAAATTCTAAATTTTGCATTGTCAACTGAAAAATAATTATATTGAAAGAAGTAAGTGACAATTTTCATCAAGTTTGTACGTTTGAATTGTTTTGTCAAATCTTGTACATTTGGGTGCGCTGTGGTTCGTTATTTTTGAACATATTGTTTTTAATAGGAAGCATGAAGCAGTTTTGTGTAGACACATACAGAATATATAAAATAACCAAGTAATGAAATATTTAGTTGATTCGTTTTGACTGAATTGACCAATGAATGCTAATAATTGGTTATTTTACTAAATTTGTAATGTGATGCATACGCATGTTTGGTATTTTCTCCACAAATTGGACCCATCAGATTTCTATGTGTGTGTACTTTCTTGAGTTTATCAATCAAAGAAGGAGGATTGATAGTTCCGAAAAAGAGCATAACAAAATTTGCAATTGACTCTAGGATCAAATTCAATTAAATATTTAAGCGAACCTCGAATAACAAAGTAAATAAATCTTCCATGTAGGTTCTAATGACTGATAAATACCAATTCTAAGGTATTTGTTCTATGGATGAACATTTTATCTCTCACATTTCCTCTTGTAAACAGTCGAACAAAACACAAAAACGCATCAACGTACTTAATAAATGGTGCGAGAAATAGAGATAGAACGTAAATAGTGCAAAATCTAGTGTTATGCGCTTCCGGAAAGGTCGAATTCCCACACCACGGACCAGTTCAACATTCAAAATTGGAAATGAACAGCTACAAATCGTTGAGCAATACAAGTACTTGGACGTTTTTTTTATCGAAAAACTTAAGTACACTGTTGCAGCGGGTGTATTTGTCAAAGCAGGTGGGAGAGCACTTGGTGCTGCTATTTCTAAAGTACATTCATACAAAGAAATTGGATTTAAAACCTTTGAAACTGTGTTTAACTTCTGTGTTTTACATTATTGTTCTGGTGTTTGAGGCTACAATACTGTTCATGGCAATGATATGATACAAAATAGAGCAGTGCGTTATTTCTGTGGTTTATATCGGTTTGCACCTACTATAGCATTGAACAGCGAACTTGGCTGGTTACCACCAACGCAGAGACATTGGTTGAATATGGTACGCCTATGGAACCGTCTAATTCTTATGAACGACGAAAGGGAGTATAAATTTAATGGATTATGGTGCACACAAATTAGGGAAATCTTTTATAAACTTGGAATAAGTAACCTCTATGAAACCCAACAAACAGTGAACATATAAGAAGCTAAAGAAAAACTTTTACGTTATACTGATGCCTCGTTCACAAGTACATTTAATTCGAATTGAATTCGAATCGAATGCGAATCGAATTCGCTAATCGCGTTCACACACTCTTCTTTTTTTTAATTCGAATCGAATTCGAATTGGCTAATTCGCATTATCCAATTCGCATTAGAAATGCGTTTTCGTTAATACGAATTAGCTAATTCGCTTAAATTCGAATTAAACTGTGCACTGGTGTGTACACTTTCTTAATTGTAATTCGAATTAAATTATAATCAATTTATTGATAATGCGAATTAAAAGTTAACGTAGTTTGGACAGTAAAAGCGAATTTGACGCGCATTGCAATTCGTATTAGAATTTACGTTCGGACGTAAAACGTTTCGAATGCGAATTAAACTAATTCGAATTAGTTAATGCGAATCGAATTCGAATTACGTGTAAACGCAGCATGAGGTTATCACCGAAACTAAGAACGTTTGTGACCTTCAAAGGAAATTGTGAACTTGAACAGTATATCACATCAAATCTGTCTAAACAAGAACGATCGGCTCTTTCCCAATGGAGATGTGGGCTTCTTCCAATACGCACTTAGACGGGAAGGTTCCGTAACGAGGCGCTACCGGAGAGAATATGTGTATTGTGTGAAAGACATTAGGTCGAAGACGAAAAACATTTTCTATTAAACTGTCCATGCTATGATAAACTTAGACAAAAATATCTACCTATGGCCACATTAGACAATTTTAGTGCCGATAGCGGAAGACTTATTCATTTACTGAAACTCTATCAAATTCCAACTGCAAAATTTTTAAATTCGGCATTCATTCATAAAAAAAAAGTTTACGTCTAATTCTATTTTTCTATTTTGTAAACTTTTACGTTTTTCGAATATGATATAATATTGCTAAAGTGACATATAGGTCCAATGGTCCGAGTGTTAATATCAAATTGCTAATTATACTTGTATAAATGTATGTAATGATACACATGTCACTATAATAAATAATTACTTACTTACTTACTTACTTACTTACTTACTTTAAAGTTCTTTAAATGAGTTCTTTTAAAAAATACATTAAAGGAAGATACATTTCTTCAAAATTTACAACTGTGAAGAAAATAAAAATTTGCTATTCTCAAATTCCCTCATTTCCTAAGGAATGTAGGTGAATAAGTAAGATTACCCGATTCATTGTTCAATTCGTCTTCATTGATGAAGCATTTCAATGATTATTTTGCATATGAAATAATGTAACAAGAAGCTTAATGAGCTGGAACAATACAATACAATATTTATCACACAGGGTGTTCGGATCATCAACAGCCACCAAAATATATTTCGTCTTTTGTGTTCATAGAACCTTGTAATATTTCAATTCTTCCAAAGCTTTAAGTATAAAATGAGTCGTTTGATTTTTTTTTATACGAAGTGTCTTAATCACTTACTCTGGTGTCACACAATTAGTAGCGGAGACCTCAAGACTGAATCAATCACCCGAAGTTCTTCTATTTGAGGGATAAAGAACAGGATTTAACTATATAGTTAGCAACTCTTGAAATCATTGACATTTGTGTTACCAGCTTTTTTTTATATTAAAACTTATTATTTCAAAATTGTTCCCGTTGATTACGTCCTATAATCATAAAATATAGTCAACAAAGTCCTTGACAGCTTACATTTACAATAATCAAGTTTTTATTTAGACATTTGAATAAAAATGTGATAAATCAATTCTGTTTGTTGCAATTCATAAGATCGATAAATTCCAAGAAGATCCCGGAAAATTTGCAAATCGAATATCACAAACCAGCAAGAAGAATAAAAACGTGGAAATAAGATAATTTTCTCCGCAAAACTTGGAACGTACTGATTTGTTTTTCATTCCCAATGTACATCTATGAACTGTCCCCTTTACTTCAGGAGATAAAACAGGTTCAAACTACATAAGAACCACATTACTTTATCGATCAACAACTGGAGGTACTGCGAGCAAAACTCACAATCATACGCCCTTCAGCTGCAAAGTCAATAAATGTCAAGGGAAACAGCAGCAATAAGTCTAATCAAAACCAAAATATGTGGTGCACAAGGTCATGCAAAAGTAAACGCAAACCATTCTGATGAAAAAATGAAATACGAAGTGTAAAACTACATCATGTAAGATTCTATGAAAGTTTCTCAAAATCCTGTCAGGCAGTTCAGGAGCAGTTGTTGATACAAAAGCGACACGGAAAGACGAACAGAAGGACGAAAAGATCATCTACCCAATCGCTATATACTGCCCGTTTCAGCACTTCCCTGATCAAGTTTACCAATAATGGTGATAGCATTATACTATACAGTAGGTCTCTTTTTTTCAAATTTATTTCCGAAGAAGCCGATGTACTACCTTTTCCATATCTGGATTCTTACCTGGCTTTTTTGCAAATGCAGTGATAGATTTTTACATTGATGCATTTATGCCACTGTCAATATTTTAGCTGTAAAATTATCGGGTTTGTTGAGCTTTAATACAACTTCAGCCAAAGTAACTGGGTTTATAGTTTTCATGCATATAATCATTTATCTTTCTCTATCTTACATGCCTACCTTTACTTTTTTCCTCGGATTTCGCCGTTGTTTTTCGTTGTAGGACGTAAAGATTCCACAAACGTCTGAAATTAGAAAAATGAATGCTTGTGTCAGATTCACGTAATGTTATAAAGTGTTTATGATTAATTAAAACATACTTATTATTTTAATATAGCATGCCTCTCCAATCAACTTTGATAATAAATAATAAAAAAATAATAGCTGCATAATCAAAATCATGAAGACTATGACTCTAAATCCAAAATGTAAATTCGTGTTACTTAATTTCATTCTAGCAGTGGCATACTGACAGACCAGAGATACCCGAGAAAGCCGGAAGTTGTCTGTCAGAAGGCCCTCATTGAATGTAAAGGTATGCTTTCCTAAAACAAGACGAGTCTTAACACATTTATTCTAAAACCAGTTGTTGGCATGATACGGGTTATGTTCTTCTCATATATTTTATGATGGTATGATACTAAACCCCTAACGGGAGGGATTGTACTTGATTTTCATATGATGAAGACATAATCTTTCAATCAGTTTAATTGAGGTATTGAACTGGCATGTCAGTAACTGCTAGTAGTCCTTTGTTCATTTATGTATCATTGTCATTTTGCTTAGTTTCTTTTGTTACCTATTCTGACATCGGACTCGGACTTCTTTTAAACTGAGTTTTACTGTGCGTATTGCTATGTGTTTCTTTATTCTACATTGGCTAGAGGTATAGGGGGAGGGTTGAGATCTCACAAAACATGTTTAACCCCGCCGCATTTGTGCGCCTGTCCCAAGTCAGGAGCCTCTGGCCTTTGTTAGTCTTGTATGTTTTTTAATTTTAGTTCATTTATATGTTTTGGAATTAAGTGTGACGTCCAGTTTCACTGAACTAGTACACAATTTTATTTAGGGGTCAGCTGAGGACCACATCCGGTTGCGGGATTTTCTCGCTGTGTTGTTGACCCATTGGGGGCCTTCGGCTGTTGTCTGCATTTTGGTCGGGTTGTTGTCTCTTTGACATATTCCCCATTTCCATTCTCAATTTTATTTGACCTGTTTCTCTGATATACACTGTCAAACAAAAATATCAGCTTGTTTTTGCATGCAAGCACGCTATGGGAACTTAGAGACTGTTAAGAAGTAGCGATTGAAGAGACAACACTATTATTATGAGACCATAATTCCCTTCTTTATTTGCCATTTATTTCTCTTGGCAAAAATGACATTTTGGTTTGTCTACGTTAGCTGGTTTTTCGTCCCTAAAATTTGTTCTTATTTTACGTAGCCATTCTCCCATCCTCTTTTCCTCAATTATGACATTCCCTAATGAGGTTAAACACCTTATTTTTACCTACCATGAGCAACACTACGGGTATCATATGTGGAGCAGGATACGGTTACCTTTATGGGGTACCTGATTCACCCCCGGTTTTGGTTGGGGTTCGCGTTGCTAAATCTTTATTTTTTTTAAGCAGGATTTTGTAAACGAATTTTTGTCTTGTCGTCATTTTTGTATTTTGCAATGAATTTGTCTCGACTTACGGATTTTGATTCTTTCCTTGGTATCTCCGGCCATTTTATTTTAATAATTCTTATGGCTAGACTATATGTTATGTGGCAAGGTTAATTTATAAAAAAAAACAAAGTCGTATATCTACTGCTGATTCCTTTATCAGGGAGTTAGTCTAGAAGACTTTAGTAGGGATATGTACCCAATTCTTGTTTTCCCTTAATCTACCGTGTAAGTCACATAGTGAATCGTCTAGAGACAAGAGTGATGTGATTAATTTTGTTTATTCGTTTCACTACAAAGAATATTGTTAATGTTTTGTCAAAACTATAGTCAATACTATCATATAATGGAAAAACTATGTGAAAGTATTTGCTGATGCAGCAGGTTGATTTTCATTTTTGCACTTTGTGGCACATTTATTTCTTATAATACTTTAATTATTTCAAACTTCTTTTTTGTTTTATAGGATTAGAAATATTCGCAGTTAGCTTTGAAATACATGCTATGAATGAATTCTTTGTTCACAAGTTTCATACAAAAAATTTAGTTCTTGGAATAAGGTTATGATAAAGAAGATAATATTTACGGTACCAAAGATATACTGAATTAGCTTTGTCCTTACATCATATTCTATATGACATAATGCATTGACAAAAATTATGTTGTACTCATCGCCCTGAAAAGATAAAAATCACAAAGGTATAATTGCACCCTCTATTCACTTAATGCAATGATATGGCAATATGATTATTATTACATAAGATTTGGTAACTACTGATTAAGTCTCCCTCGTGGTAGCATGCTCACCTGGAGTGCGAGAGATTTCGGGTTTGATGCGTGGCCAGGTTAAGGAAAATTCTAATCAGTCCAATCATAACAATTTTGATGAAATAAATTAGTTATCCCAATTTATATTTCAAACGAAGACCCAACAAATTTTATATAAGAAAAATATATTTTGATCGGAAATTTGGTTACAGTAGGCGCGATTGTATAACACAGGCAATAGCCGATATACAAGCTTCAATTATAACGAAAGCATCTCTGGATTAATATTTAATTGATTGATTGATGTTTGCTTAACGTTCAGTGGCAAATATTTCATGCGGAATAGTATTTAAACCTTATCGTGCCTTCTTTCCAAAGAATTATATAAACGTGTTTCTGTAGTATCAATCTTCATGTATGCCCGAGATAAAAACCTTTGCTGGCATCCAAACTAAAAGGGCTTGATCCGAATAACCAAAAACCAGTGTACAATAATTTGTAGGGATAATTGTCCATTTTTTCTTTAATGTCTTGAATTACAGTTTTTATCATACATAGTGAATAAAACACAGAGAAAAAATGAAAACAACACGTTATAAATTTCATGTGCCCGCATCGCTTTTCTGGATTTACCTTCACTAGGAACGCTCAAAGCCAAATATTTGATAGCTAAGGATGTATAAGAACCGAAACAGTTGAAAATGCTATATGACCTAAAAGGACATAAAATAGCCATATCCATCTAAGGTCAGCCTTGCCTTAGGTAGTTGAAACCTTAGTTTTTTATAATTTCAAAATTTATTAACGGACAATTTTAGAAAGGTTTGCTATAAATCATGTTAGTACCGAAGTACTGACTATTGAGCTGATGATACCCTCGGGGACTGATAGTCCACCAGTAGAAGCATCGAGGCACAGAGAAGAGAGTGTTGTGTTTATTGTTGTCCAATCATTTGCTTGTTCGTTTCACTGCAATGAATTATTAATGTATTTTTTTTTATATTATCATATCATTTAAAAAACGTTTTCAAACGGTTTGATAATTTTGTAGATTATGGATAAAGAGACTACCATAGCTGTATTTGACAAAACCTTTCGGAATTTTGGTCCTCAATTCTCTTCAGCTTCGTGCTTTATTTTGCCTTTTTAACTTTATTGTTTTGAGCGTCACTGATGGGTCTTTTGTAGACGAATCGGGCGTCTGGCAAACACAATTTTATTCCTGATATCTATGACGAGTTTATTCTTATAATTATGGCACTTTTTGAAAGCATTTACTCCATATAAGACCGTTAAAATTTTCTTCGAAATCTTTCTGTTTTTCTATTACCGTTTATCTTTTTACATATATACTATAGAGGAATTTGTTCATACGTGTTCTACACGAAATTTAGTTCTGGGAATAAGACTTTTACACCGAATCACACACTTTATGGTCTACCAATCGGAGACATTGAACTTTTTCCCGTAATCAGATTCTACGTAAATTCAGGGATTGAATCAAATTGTTTCTTGTAATCCTGTCCTTAGAAATTAAAGGAACAATTGTAACTTAAGTATATTTACTGCAGATATATGACAATACATGATATGTTACTCCTGCCTCTGTGGTCTTTCCTCAAGTACGATCGAATTGGGGTTTGATCATTGAGCAGGTGAAACAAAATATGTAATGTTTTGTTTGTGTTGAATGTTTTACAATCAGTCAAAATATATTGTACAAAATATTTAACTTGATATAGCAGAAATACATTGAGAATCTAAATTTTTATTTCAGACTTAAAGTCAACAAATTTTTTGTTTGAAATTTTGCATCTTTTGCAGTGATTCAATTACCCTATTTATTTCCTGATATTGTACTTATGTAATTTAAATTCTTAGAAGAAGGTTTAAAGAAAAATTTTGAAAGGAAACTTGAAGATCAAATGTAAGAGGTATCAGACGACATGAAAAAGGTCAATGACAAACGAATTTCTCGGAAAATAAACTTAATCAAACGTTCTCGTGCAAGAATGATGCTTTCCTGGAAAACCCGTCATCATGTACACTCGAGACCAGAAGTTTTTGAAACCAATTTCATGAACATCTTTGAGAGCATTACTATCAAACGGTCTTAAAGATGAGCATTCACAAACATGTTTAACTCCGCCACATTCTTTATATGCAGGGGTAAATAATTCAGTGGTTATTGTTGGTTCGTGTCTGTCATATTTGGTTATTCATAAATAGTTATTGTTATAAATTAGGCCGTTAGTTTTCTCGTTTGAATTGTTTCACATTTTTCATGTCGGGGTCTTTTATAGCTGACTATACGGCATAGGTTTTCCCAATTGCTGAAGGAAGTACGGTGACCTATAATTGTTTATATCCATGTCATTTGAACTCTGGTGGTGTATTGTTGTCTCACTGGCAATTATACAACATTTCCTAATTTTAATATAAATCAGAACAACGAAAAAAGTGTAAGGAAATATACGCCTTATGTAGTTACAACTTTAATGAACATTTAAATCGATGATTTACAGTACAAATCGATAATTCACAGTACAAATTGATTATTATCAGTTAAAGTACACCAAATCACAAATCAGATCGTATAAGGCGGATGGTAGCCATGGTGACAGATTATTCTTAGTTGTATCTACATTTGACAAACTGAAAAGCAATTGTTACCATAAACAGAAATACGACATACACTTTGTTTCCCGAAGAATCGTAAAAGAGTCAAAGCTGAAAGATCGGTTAAGCCAATTAGAAAATCTTCTTTTCAGTCTAGGTTCATTTTAACCATACTGGCTATCTAAA